TTTTTTTTTTAAAAAAAAAAAAACACACCAACTTATAAACTTTTGGACCTACTGTGTGTGCCTGCGTGCTCGGGCTGTGCAGGAGGCTCTATCTGTCAAAGGGAGAGGGCAGGAGCATTTGGTTTGCTGCAGGAACGCTCCTGAAACTCAGTCCATCTCGAAGAAGATGCTGTAGCTTTAAAGATGCTTTGACTTGAGGATTAGTTTAAACAGGGGGCTATAAAAGATGTAACAGATGCAAACTGTAAAACAAGGGCAATTAACCCTTGCTCTCCTGAGCAGGATCCCCCCTCGCCTTCGCATCTATTGTCTTCTCCTGCACTGGGAGTTTTACACAAAACCTAAAAAATTATTACCTGCCTCAACAATTTTTTTTATTTTTTTTTTCAGTAAAGTGGGCTTTTTTCCTTCCCCCCCCCCCTTTTTTTTTTTTACACTCTCTTGTGTCTTTTTACTTTGCTGGAGCTTCACACCAGGACTGAGCAGTGAAGTGTGTTGCTGCTGGGTCTTTTTATTCTGCCTGAACTCTCTTTTCAGGCGTTTGCGGTTATCAAACCTACTCGGCTAAAAAAAAAAACAACCAAAACCCAGTCTCCGAGCAGGTAAGAGGATGGGAATATTGAGAGAGCGTGTGCGGGGTCAGCGTGTTTACTCACACCCTCCTGCTTGGGATTCCGCCTGGACAGGGGGAATTGGTGGCTCTGTGGATGTGGGTGTATGTGGCTGAGGAAGGAAGAGGCTGAGAAATGTGCTAGAAACTTCAGGATTTGCCAGTTATTCCCGATCCTGGAGTGGGCAACGGTGGCATCACCGTGGCAGATCTGCCAGGAGATGTAGCGGAGAGGGGAGGAGAGGAACCGGGGCAAGCCCGGACCCTCAGCCTGCCTCGGCAATTGGCGTTTTAATGCAAAACGACCAATGGTGAATTGTTTTAAATGCGTTTCACTACCTTCCCTGCTCTTCAGCCTCCCGCAGAAAGTTGTCAATAATTCTAAACCTGCAGATCTCGAGAACGCTTTTCTTCCCAGAGGACCGGCAAGCTTTTTAAAATACGTATATATATATATTGCTTTTTGGTAAACGACTTTTAAGTTCCAGTCGGTACTTTCACTTCTTGCTGTAGGATCCCAGAAGCTAAGGTGTTACTTCACCCAGCTTCACAAAATAAAATAAAGAAATGAAACTAACTAAGCAGACCAAACAGCAAACTTTCTGTTTGGGGAAACACTCCCTTCGCCGGGGAGCCCTGCCCGGAGCTGGGGCTCCAGCAGTGCCCGGCCGGGCTGGCTCTGCAGGCTCAGGGCGTGCAAAGCATTAACAGGTACCTGCAAACTTTCAGAGCTAAGATGTGAAACCTGAAATAAAAAGAGCAGGAGGTGGGTGGCGGGGGTGTGTGTGTGTGTATTTTTTTTTTTTTTTTTTTTTTTGCAGGAGGACGAAGCCCCTTCCTAGCACTAAAACTTTTGCTGCTGCGTTGTAAAAGGCACCTCCCGTACCTGGCCGACAGGTAAGGGGAGCAGGGGTGGTGGTGGCACAGCCCCGAGCGCCCCGAAACTGCTCGCCCCTTCCCGGAGCGGTACCGAAGTGACTTCAGGTTTCGGTTAAAAATAAAAAAAAAAAAAAAAAAAAAAAAAAGATTAAAAGTCATTGTCTCCAAAACAGAAAGACATAAAAAACCCTCGAAAAAAAAAAAAAAAAAAGAGGTTTTTCGTCCCAAGTATAAACAAGCCAGAAAGAAGCTAACACGCTTAAAAATAAAATATTATCGACATTAAATAAGCCCGCTAGAGCGTGAGGTGGTGTGAGAAAAAAGAAGGGGAGGAAAAAAAAAAAAAGGGGAGAAAATGGAATTAAATTCCGAACCTACCTGCGAAGTCTTGTTTGTAGTTTTGGCCAGAAATGGTGAGAAGAAAAAGCATGAAGAAGCCGCGAAGTGGAGGAGAAAAGGTGAAGGGAGATGCAGCTCCTGGAGAAATTGTAAAAAGCCTTGCAAAGAGTTGTCGGAAGGACCGT